AATTTAATTTTGAAGGACTATGGGTATTTTTCAATTATCTATTTCTTAAATTATATTTTTATAATGTATGTTTTCCTCATTGATCATTTGAATTTGGTTAAAACTGAAATTAGAACACGAGGTATTTCTCAAAAAAAGAAGCATCTTGAAATAACAGGTTTCTTTTCCTACATGAAGGGGGTTTCTACTGTTTTGTAATTACTGTAATGGTTTTGTCTACAGAAGAAAATATGTCCCAACAACGCTTAACTCTTGACTTTTATAGATTGATTTTTCAAGAACTCAGCAAGAAACAGCACAGTACCATAAATAATTAAAATCATAACTCAGAGAAGAAACAGTATTTCAAAATACTTTGAATTTAAAAGTAATACCTTGACATCGGTCTGACTCTAATATCAAAGCTTTCACTAGATCGACGCCGAAGATATAAAAAGAAAATATAATTTTTATAATTTGAAATTGATAATTTGGATACAAAAGAATTACAATGGAATTCTTGTAAACTTTTTAGAGGGAAAACCCAGATGAGGAAAAACTCTACGTTTGAATTTCCATTTGAGGCTTTATATAAGCAACCTCTCATTTTGAATTTAGATACATTTGAATTTCATTTGGATTACATTTACTTTTATCTATCGATGTAGGTGATTTTACTTGTTCACTATTCTGTCAACAGATTCTTCAAGTTGTCATCTTTGGATGCTTTTGGCATAAAAAAATTTGCTTTTGCTGCTCACTCTTCAGCAAATTCTACGGGTTGTCATCTTTGGATGCTTTTGACAAAAAAGAATATGCTTTTTCTGTTCATTCTTTTAATTTTATCTGTTTTTATTGCTCACTCTTTTATTTTGTCGATAACTTTTACAGGCATTCACTTTTGAATTTCTTTTTTTTTTCCTTAGGGAATATAATCTTCATCCTGGGATAAGTCAACTTTGCCTTGGATGAAGCAATTTCTTATCTTTCTTCTTGGTCTTCATTTTAGTCTAAAGAGTTAAGCATTTCAGCCATAATCCTTTTGTACTCAGTCTTTGTTCTGACCTGAGCGAGTAGTGCACTGACGTTTGATTTTGCTTGCAAAAACTTGATATTTTCCTGTGAAGTTTGAGAATTCTTGTATAATCATGGATTCTTTTCGAACCATGATAACAAATATTGGAGATCATATTTTCTGTCATCAAATTTGTCCTACCATTTTGTTTTAAAAGTTCGAATAACCACTGGTGCTCTAGCATGAAAATTCGTGTCATAAGAATAGTCTCATGACGTAATCCAAAATATTATTAATTTGAAAAAAAAAAGTACAGAAACATACAAATTTGCTTGATCGTCTTCAAATTAAAAATTTTGAAAAAAAAATTCATATAATTGATCAATTTTTTATAAAAAAATTTCTCTCAAGGGTCTAAACCAGTTTCACCAATGAAAATACCAAATTGAGAATTTGTATTGATTTTCAAATTTGAAAAACATTAACTAGGAGTACCGGTTATGTTTGTTATTGAAAAGAAATGTGTTAAACCATGCCTATTGGTAATCCCTATAATTAAAAATGAGACAATGACCAACTATATTTGAAAAATTATTTAAAAATTTTTTAAAATGATTTAAGTTTTCTCTCCAGTCTATAAGCCTTAAAACTTTTAACATTTGGACGATAGAATGAGTAATCAAAGTAGGATCGTTCTGGTCTGTATAGTGTTTAAAAAGAACAAATCTTGTTTGAATCAAAATATTTTGATAATAATTTTCAAGTTTCTGTAAGTCCCATGACTTGTAATGCCATCCTTGAAAGACTTTTCTAATAATTATTTGAGGTATTCATGGTAAAGTCCTTCTATTAATAAGACATTTTGAACATTTTTTTTTCGATAATATTGGTTTTGACCTTTTTGAGATATTGAATATTAAGACTGTGTTTGAGAAAGTGTTTGAGAAGGAAAAATATTTCGTAAGTCTTGTAGTTTTGGTTTGTGGAGAACTATCTCCTTTCTCTTGGACTTCTGAAGTCTGAAAATGACAATCTGTTTAATAAGAGTGTCTTTCTCAGTTTGTGAGACTAATACAAGTGCTGCCTCGAGTGATTTTGAGAAGAATTCTATCCATTTTTGAATTTGATAATCTAACTCAATGGAGTCTTGGACATCTTGGTATTGATTTTGAGTTTGAGAGGGATTTTGGAAAGAACTTTTGAGCTTCTTCTTGTTAATCTTGAGTACAAATTTTGTACCATGACTTGATGAACTTTTGATTGAGAATTAAAAGGTCTTCTTTCTTTATTTCTTTTCATCATGCAATAGCTCATCTTTTAGTTGTTAGATTTATTGGATAACTAAAAAAATGGTGGGATAATTATCTCACAACAAACCAACAACTACATGATTTATTTCAATATTTTGTACAGAAATTGGATTAGTTACTCCTTTTATCTTCTATTTATTTAGAAGCTGAACTTCATACCATTAAATAGTCCTAAATATCACTGTATGAGACCTAGTCATATCTATTTGTATTAATAATGTTTCTCCTTTTGAGCTATGAATTAAAGTTTTAGTATTTTTATTGAGTACATTACTTTATAATACAATCTATAAATCATGATCAATGGTTCAGATCCTGACATCATTTTATAATTGTGTGTTTAAATTTACAAAGTTAATGAATTTAAAATGTTTCTATCTTTTAAAAAAATCATAAAATTTAAAAAGCAATTAAAATATACTGATCCTCTACAAAGATTTATTTCTACTGTTATATATATATATATATATATTACCAATTTTAAATATTTATAAAAACTCAAGTATATATTATAAAAAAAACTAAAATATAATATTTTTATGTTATCCAAATAAAAGTATTTAATTTTTTGTTTAATTATATAAATAAGTTAAAAATAACAAATTTTCAATAACAAACTTGTGATCATTAATTTTATTTTTAATTGAGTAAAGTATTTTTTTAAATTAATTAGCACAAATCCGTCACTATTTTTGTCACAAAAATATAATATTAAAGTCAAATGATGAGAAATTGTTGAAGATTTCCGTAGTTGCTCGGATTTCCACCGGCCTCTGGCGAGTGACTTGTGCTCAAATCCAAAATTGTGTGCAAGAAGAAACTTGTGCAAACATACAAAACATCAAAACGAACTAGGAAATCTGAAATTCCATATAGAGAAACAGAGAAATTTGACTAGAGAATATTGTTTCTCTTACTTGTTTGAAGCTCGAGAAAGTCGAAGAATCAATGGAAATCCTGGTTCTGCATTGCTTTCAACTCTGATTCAAACATGAGAAGGCAAACAAGTTTCAAGAAGAGTTGGCAGAAGAAATGAACCACATGGAACAGCACAAACAATTAAAATGACCCAAATCAGAGAAGTGAATAATCTGGGAGCAGAGTGAGCAGATATTGAGGCTTCTGTTCACACCCAAAGTTTTCTTCCAGCAATGAACTCCACCGCAAGACCATTCACCTCCCTGATTGGGCAAATTTTCGACTGTTCCATGATGTTCATTCCTATTACCAGCTCCATCTGCTAAGTGAGCTTCATGAACAAGAAAAGAAAAAGGTCAAGGCGTTTTAGTAAGACATTTTTCTTCCAGAAAGTGCGATAAGGCGTTATTACAAATCACCCCTCATCTATTATATTTTTAAAAAATCATTTTAAATAGTTAAAAAAATAAAATTATTTTTGTATTATAAATAAAAATTTTATAATTAATAAAAAATTATTTATTAAATATTTATAAAAAATTTATAAAAATAAATTTATTAAATAATGTTATTTTAATTTTAAAAATTATTTTTTTAAAAAAATTCCTAATAATTTTTATTTTTTTCTTTACATTGAGAATGCGTTCTTGTGCTGCATTGAATGGGTTTTTGGGGAGTGTGCAATGGGTTTGTGTTACGAGATAGAGCTGCTGTTTGTTGATTTCTGAAGATGGTTGACAGGTCAAAGGGGAAGAGGACAACTTTTGCAATCAGAATTTATCCTTACCGGCATTTGTTGATTGCGTTTCATATAATTTATTAGGTGCATGATCCTTTCCCATACGCTACAGTGCTAATGATACTTGTTTTTGTGGGTCAAGATCAGTATGGATTCGACAAAGGGTCAGTAGAAGATAAGATTTACGTGTCTTGTTTCAAGACCGATGGATTTGGTCTCCCCTCATCCATAATTATAATAATCGGTGCTTCTTACGAGGAGTGTTTACAATTCATTGCTTTGTTTGGCAGTGTTTATGCCAATATTCGTAAGCACCAAGGCCTGCCATTTCGATTCCCTGGCAATCGATACGATGCGTCCGATGCAAGAGTGCTCGCAGAGCAACACATCTGGGCAGCAGTCTCGGAGAAGGCTAAGAATCAAGCCTTCAATTGCCCTAATGGCGATGTTTTTACATGGAAAAGCTTCTGGAAGGAGTTGTGCAAGGTTTTCGATGTACAGTTTGTCCAGTTTGATGTGATTGAGATAATGAAGAAGAACGCTCCGGTTTGGGATCAGATTGTGGAAGACCATGGGCTCTTTAGGACCAAAATAGAGGATTTGATCACTTCCTTTGAGTTTCAACATGTTTCTAACATGACAGAGAGTCGAGATTTTGGTTAACTTGGATATGCTAATGCTCTTAGGAGCATTGAAATGTGGGTAACAAGATTACAAGAAATGAAAATTATACCTTAATATCGAATTCCCAACAGCTTAACGTCTCAATTTATTTTTAAATAAATTAAAATAATTTAAAAATAAAATTTAAATTACTCGATTTCAATCTTGTTTAAAAAAATAAAATTTAAAAATTAACAATTGAAATTAAATAATACAACGAAAACAAACATAAAAAATCGAAACTTTCATAAGATAATCTATTTTGACATTTGATCGGATTAACACTCCTACATACAAGCAAATTATCAATTAT